AAAACCATTAGGATTAGATCATCGTCGCCCTGGTACAGTGTTCAACTCCACACTTTAAAACAGGACGTCAGAAAATTGGAGAGGCTATATCGCCACTCCCACTCGGAGCCTGTCCACAGGGAGTGGAAAGCAGGTCTCCGAAACTACAAGAAGGCCCTTCGCGGGGCTCGAACTCAATACTATTCAACTTTAATAGAAGCGAATAAAAACAACAGTAGATTTTTGTTTGGTACCGTCGCTAAACTCACAAACTGCCATAGCGCAATCGAGCCTAAAATTCCAAGCTCACTGAGCAGTGTCGACTTTCTCCACTTCTTTAATAATAAAATTACATCCATCCGTGACAAGCTGGAGGAGGTTGCTCCTGCTGTTAGTGGTGGACAGGTTGAAGCGGCATACGTGACTTCCCACTTAGACTCTTCAGTGGGCCTTAATAAATTCATGGCTGTGAGCCAAGCAGAGGTGATCTCTGTGGTCACATCCTCAAAAGCCTCAACTTGCATGTTAGACGCAGTCCCGACATGGCTCTTCAAAGACATACTTCCTTTGATAATTGAGCCTATCGTAAATATAATAAACGCATCCATACAATGTGGCTATGTCCCACAAGCTTTTAAAACCGCGGTAATCAAACCCCTTCTGAAGAAAACAAACCTGGACCCAGAAATACTTACAAACTACAGACCGATCTCGAACCTCACTTTTATATCTAAAATCCTGGAAAAACTTATAGCTGAGCAGCTCCGCTGCCACCTGCAGGAAAATGATATGTTTGAAGTCTTTCAATCAGGATTCAGAGCTCATCATAGCACTGAAACGGCACTAGTCAAAGTCACAAATGACTTACTACTAGCTGCCGATAATGGACAAGTGTCAGTGCTGGTCCTACTGGACCTTAGTGCTGCATTTGACACAATAGACCACAGCATTCTACTGCAGAGGCTAGAATGTGATATAGGTCTTAGAGGAACAGCCCTTGGCTGGTTTAAATCCTATTTATCAGATCGATATCACTTCGTCAATGTGAATCAGGACTCGTCGCCTTATTCTGGAGTGGAATTCGGTGTGCCGCAGGGTTCGGTACTCGGACCGATTCTTTTTACTCTCTACATGCTGCCACTGGGAAACATTATTAAAAAGCATGGAATTAATTTCCACTGCTATGCAGATGACACACAGCTTTATCTGTCGATGAAGCCTAATCAGACAGATCAGCTAGAAAAGCTCAGTGCCTGCATAAAGGACCTTAAAATGTGGATGACTCTTAACTTCCTACTTCTCAACCCGGAGAAGACAGAAGTGATCCTACTCGGTCCGAAGCGCCTGCGTGACTCCCTCACTAACCAGATGGTTACTCTCGATAATGTCAGTATAATACCCAGTAACACTGTGAGAAATCTTGGAGTCATTTTTGACCAAGAACTCTCCTTCAAGGCTTATATAAGCCAAGCAACTAAAACGGCGTACTTCCACTTACGGAACATCGCTAAAATTAGGAATTTCCTTCCTAAAAGTGACGCGGAAAAACTCATTCACGCGTTTGTCACCTCAAGGCTCGACTACTGTAACGCTTTACTGGCAGCGTGCCCTAAAGCCTCTTTGAAGAGCTTCCAGCTCGTTCAGAATACAGCAGCTAGGATCTTAACAGGTACCAAAAGGAGGGAGCACATAACTCCGGTGTTAAAATCACTCCACTGGCTCCCTGTGGAGTACAGAATAAAGTTTAAAATCCTACTCTTAACATATAAAGCCATAAATGGCTTGGCTCCTTCTTATCTCCAAGACACGTTAGTGTCGTATCAACCAAGTCGAGCGTTGCGCTCACAAAACGCCAGACGTCTGGTGGTCCCTAAGGTCTCAAAGGTCACTGTTGGTGGCAGAGCATTTAGCTACCAAGCTCCTTTATGTATACGCCCTACCCCAACACCCCCACACCCACCACCCTAAACCATATCAGATTTCCTCCTCACACTGACCATGTGCAGAGATCCTCATCCACTTCCCCACTAAGCTGTGAATGTTCCTATCTAATTCGAACGATCTTCATGGTGTCCCCTTGTTTCTCACACTGTGGTCCCTTTAATTCGTTGTACACAATTCTCTATGACTTAGCGCTATACCTAGACTGTGCACTATCACCTTCAATCCTGTCAGCTCTTCAAACACTTGTATGTGTGTTACCTTAATTGACACTGTAGCACCTCTTCTTTGACTCTTCTGATTCTCAAGCTGTCGATACATCTTCCTCCCTATCTATCCATCGTGTGTTCTATCCCCCCAATACTCACTCTTGATATCTCCACCTCTAGCTATTCTGCGCTACTTCCATATCACTCATACCTCTTGATAAAACTTAATAATTTGTGTGAAACAATAGCCAATGATCGTGTTCTCTACTCCTACACTGTTAGTAAACTACACTCTACTACATGTCCTCTCCGAGTTATCAGCCGCCTGAAACAAAAGTCACTTTGTTTAATTAGACCTTCCATCTCACCAACACCCCAACCCACACCACGAGATGTTGTTGTTTTCACGCCCTAGATACTCACAGACACCCGCTCCTTCCTCCCCCCATATAAAACCTACTCAACCCATAAAAAAAGCTGCCTCGTGAACTCCCATGCTTTTTCTCTTCCATATTTCCCACAATAATCCATATAAACCAAACACCATTAAACCTCCCCTCTCACAATTACCAACAAATACCACATCATCACCACACACATCCCTCCATTATCCTACATACCCATAATAAATATATCATACCCTCACCCCATACTAAACATCCCCCTTTCATCCCCCAAATACACCCTCCACATCAATAATAACCCCATATTCATAAAAAAACCCCACAAAATTACCAACGCTCCCTTAACCCCCCCCAAAACATCTTCTCAATCTTTCATTCAATCACCCCCCTTCTAATTCCCTCCACTTATCTTCCTAACACCAACCTCTCATAAATCTTTCCACCACAACACTTCCATTCCCTACACTCAATCCTAATCCTTTTCCTCCCACTCTAAAATTACCACCCCCCCCTCCCCTAAACCCCCCCCACCCCCCCCCCCCCTATCCACACCACCCTTCCATACCTCCCCTCCAATACCCCTTTACATCTCCCTACCCTTCCACCCCTCACCCCTCTAACATTCAATCCACCACTACCTTCCCACACCACCCCATCCCCTCCAATCCAACTTCCCACCCTCCAATCCTTTAACCATACTCAACTCCTACATATATCCATCCCCAACTAAACCTAAAAAAAAACAAAAACCTATATCAAATCACCCTCCAAAATCAACCACCCACCATTTCCCCCCTCCAACAAACACCTCAAAAACCCTATCAAATTTACACACCATACCCCCCCTCCCATACCAAACCACCACATCCCATATACAAACTCCCCCAATTAATTCCCCATACCAAACTCAATAAACAACCCAAACCCCAAAATTCAAACCCACTATCCCAATACATCCCCCATAATCCCTAATCAACATAAAACCTCTTAAAACCCCCCATCCAATTAACTTATTATAACACTACACCATACTTATCACATCCCTAAAACATATACCCCTAACCTCCATCCATAAATTAACATACATCAATCTTTTTATTAACCCCCTATTTCCCTTCACCACACCCACCACAATCCCAATCCAACCAAACCCCCCACTCCTAAACATATCCCATAATACCCCCAAAATATCTACCATATAAACATAATACTCATACCCTCCCCCCCAAAAACACATATCTACCTACAACTAAATAAATAACAACCTTAAAATCCATACCTAAAATACAACACATAATTTCTACCCATCCTCCCCACCCTCCAAACCTCATCACTTCCCTTATTTCATCTATCTCTTTCTCTTCTGTACTAACTCTCGCATTAGTCTGTCCGCACGCCTACCCAGGTGTATGTGTGTTACTGTCGCACAGACCACATCATACTTGTTCATCACTGTATCAAACCATACAACCCTCAGTTACCGATACTGTGTTCATCCACTTCTACTCTGTCAAATAACCTGATACCACTGTAGATCTTCCACTTGAAAGTATGCAACATCCTGTGTCCTCTGTCCACACCCTTCATTCACACAGATTCCCTGTGTGTGTGTGTCCATCAAATTCCAAACCCAGAGATCTCGCTCCACTGTGATCTATCCAAAATCCTCTAATGATAAACTCTATCACTTATGTCACCGTCGGCAACACCCCAGCTCACTGTACTATATGTTATCAACATAGAATTATATTCGTGTTCCTCTTCACTCTCACATAGTAACCTTTATATATATATAGGTGTGTGTGTTGAACCTCAAACCCCAACGCGCGCACTCCTTCAGGTAATATCGTAACACACTCACACTATTACAAATACACTATATACCTACTACATCGCACATAAAAATCCATACCACCAATTCATCTCAAACTACAACCAACCCTTGAACCATAACAATATAGATATAGATATACATAAGATAAATAAGAGATATAGATACAAGGTGTACATCACAACCAATATTCTGAGCCATTAAGAAGCAATACAGACCATGAACATCTACCCTGCCACCCCCTGTGTTACTGTTACCTGGATTGCCTCGTCTCTCGGTCCGCTCTTCGAGGCCTAGTACCCCTCCCTCATCACCAACCACTTCACTTCTCTGTGCCATTCAACTCTACTCCTCTCAGACCACACACGTCCTCCATCCTACGCTCCTCCATCCATAACTTCGACCCCATTCCGAACCCAGAGCAAGAACGCGCCGTTATAAGCGCCTCCTCACACATATGTGCTAAGCCTACGCCCCTAGACTCTGCGCACCCCGCACTCCTCGGCCCTTGTACCCCGCACACCACTCTCACCACCCCCCGTGCTAACCTGACACGATTCACAGCACACAACAGTCCCACCCTCCACCCCCACTCACCCTCCCTCATTGTCCCTTCCGCCCTCTAAGACGATAAATATGTCAGACTCTGCACCTGCCTGCGTCCTCGTCACCTCGTGTCAGCTCACCTCCAGAGATCTCCCAACGCATCCTGTCACCCAGCCGGTATGGTCGCACTCCCCAGTCCACACGCCACCACCCAGCGTTGACATCACTCTCCTCAGCCCACCCCTAGCGTGCCTTGACCCACCTGTGTACACTCCCGCACCTCCATACGTACCAGACACTCACACCTGATATAGTCCCCTGATGTGTGTACACAGACAACGCTCGCCGCCTTGACACCAATCACCCACTCACCCCCGCAGTCCTCTCCCACACGTTCACTGCGAATGACAAACATTGCATCGCTTACATCCATGTCTTCCTCACGCCAGACTTACTCCTCACATACAGACCGTCACATGGCCCACCGCCCTCGGAGACCCTCCCCCCGGTACCTCATCCTCTCCCCACTCAGCCGCTACACCACTCCCGCACTACCCCTTCGATTCCGTCACCAGACAGCCTCATCCCCCACCTCCCATACACCGCACCCCCCGTCACTACACCCATCATCCTCTCGTTCGCCTGCACATGAATATACTCCCCACAATACGCCCCTGCTGTTCTCCCTCACATCGCCAACAACTCAGCCGCTGATACACTCCTACCCACCCTCCGTACCTCTCCATACACGCACTAGTTCAACCTATCCTATCTGCACCCTGTCACCATAGACCCCCTACCTGCTCACTACTCACCTCACCCAACACACAACTGCGCATCGTCCGCCTGCTAACACTGCTGCTCATGTCCACATCTCCCCACGCACTCACCCTATATAGATTCACGCCGCCCTCTCTCTCACACCCTTCCCCTCCACACAAGTGTCACGCTCTGCATACCATCACTGCTCAAACCCACCTCACTCTCGCCATCACCCACCACCGCCACACTCACCCACCGACCCTCTTATACTCTTCTCTCCTCGCCATCCTCCCTCACCGCACACATCTATGCAATCCAATGTCACTCCCAGACCAACTACGTCACTGTGAACTATATGATCCATTCCATCTCCACCTCTAGCCGACACCTCGCCACCCCTCTCTCCAGGATTCCATCTCACACCGCTACGCTAATCCCGCGAGACCTTTCGCCCATCTGCACACCACTACACCCCTTACCTACCCCCCTCCACTGCACCCGGAGCCGTCACCCCGCGGGGCCGTATCCTCACACTACGTCAAATCGCACACTCACATGGCACGCATTTATCCCCTGCTGCACCACACCAGACCCTCTCCTCCTTCCCTCACTGTACCGCATCCTCCTATATAGCATACGCCCACTGGTGCGTACTCCACCTTGACCTAATACATCCTCCCTCATCCAAGACCCACACGCCTTCCCCCACCCCCCCCCTTACCTCACCGCCGCGTGTCGTCCCTCTCACGTGTTAACACATCAATATATATACTCGCTCCTCACTGCGTGTAACTGTGATCCCGCGCTTTCACTATGTCACGACATTCCCCTTCCTGTCCCCTCAGCACAGACACCCGCCATTCTACCCCTCGACCCACACCCCCGAGACACCCTAGCCACCCAGCAACAAATGTCTGTCGATGTCCACATACACCACCCCCTTCTGATAATCCTACCTCGCAACACTCCCCCTCACCCACCAGACTATATTCATTCAATCCTCGTGACAGCGCACCCACCCTGTAGATACACCACCTCTACTCTTATATTACCATACCGATATGCTATAACAGCACTCCGCCTCCCGCCACACCTCACGCCACCACACGTCACGATCCTGTCTGTATACCTACCAGACCACACCTCACCAGCACCCAGTCGCGCGCGTGTAGTGCGTGTTTGTCACTCACCCCACTTATCTACCCCGCACGCAATCCATGCGCCGCCACCTAAACCCCCCTCAGCCTAACGCACTCCCTCACCCACTACCCCGTCACCCACATACTGTCGCCCACCACCAGCGACGCGCACCCACACACTAGATATAGAATAGAACCCTTCTTCGCTCAAGTAGATCCCCGTGTCACCAGTGTAACACTCCCATGTGACGAGACAATCTCCATCACCATCGCTCCGTGAACTATCAAAGATCCCCCCTCAGTGTCCTCCCATCGACCCGAAGCACCTATGTGTCTCTGTGTCCTCTCCCCATAGTATACTCCAACCATCCCGTCAATATACTCACTCTTATCACCATCACACATCATGAGCCTGGCCCACGTCACCACATTATCGTGTCCACCTCGCCCGCTCATGATAAAGACCTGTGCCATAGAGCTTCATATATAGAGCCGCCCGAAGATATCTGTCCAGTGGCTCCCCGTCACTCGAGCTCTTCTATAAGTCTCACTATCGCCGGGATGTATGTCCCTCCAGCCTGCCACTACAAAGCAGTATCTTCATAGATATAGAGTGCTTAGCTCCATCGCACTCCTGCTCGACGCGCCTACGAAGTACTGTATTCCCACGCATCATGGTGCACACTCGCATCACGAGGCACAGCTCCATCCACAGCTCCATCCACAGCTCCATCCACAGCTCCATCCACAGCTCCATCCACCAGCTCCATCCACAGCTCCATCCACAGCTCCATCCACAGCTCCATCCACAGCTCCATCCACAGCTCCATCCACAGCTCCATCCACAGCTCCATCCACAGCTCCATCCACAGCTCCAGCCACAGCTCCATCCACAGCTCCATCCACAGCTCCATCCACAGCTCCATCCACAGGCTCCATCCACAGCTCCATCCACAGCTCCACAGCTCCATCCACAGCTCCATCCACAGCTCCATCCTCCACAGCTCCATCCACAGCTCCATCCACAGCTCCATCCACAGCTCCATCCACAGCTCCATCCACAGCTCCATCCACAGCTCCATCCACAGCTCCATCCACATACCCTCCCCTACCACCCTCACTACTCTCACCAAACCCCTACCCACCCCTACACCCTCACCACCCTACAACCCCCCTCACCACCCTCACCACCCCCCTCACCCACCCCTCACCCCCCCTTACCACCCCTCACCACCCTAACCCCACCCCCTACACCCTCCTACCTCCATCACCCCCCCCTCACCCTCCCCCCTCACCCACCCCTACTCCCCATCACAACCCCTACCCACCCCCCTCACCCACCCTACCCACCCCCTACCCACCCCTACCCCACCCTCACCCCTCCCCTCACACCTCACCCTCCTCACCCACCCCTACCTCCCCCCTCCACCCACCCCCCTACAACCCCTACCCACCATCACCCACCCCCTCACCCCCACCCATACCCACCCCTCCACCCACCCCCCTCACCCACCCTTCACCCTCCCCCTCCCACCCCACCCCTCACCTCCCCCTCACCCAACCCCTACCCACCCCTACCCTCCTCCCTCACCCCACACCACACCCACCCCCTCACCCCCTCACCCCAACCTCTCCCACCCATCACCCCCCTCACCCTCCCTCACCACCCCTCACCCCCCATTTTCACCAAACCCTCACCCTCCCCCCTCACACCCCCACACCCACCCACCTCACCCACCACCTCACCCTCCCCCTCACCCAACCCATCACCTCCCCCTTTACCAACCCCCTCACCCACCCCTCACCACCACCTCACACCCCTACCCACCCATCACCAACCCCCTCACCCTCTCACTACCCTCCCCCCTACAACCCCATCCTATCTCACACCACCCCCCCCTCAGTCCCACGCGGACCCCCTGTTGTCTCATACATAAACCCGCCGTGCCACCTCTACACTCCCGACCTGTACCTCTCACTGTTCACTCGACGCAGTAACGCTGTAAGGACACACTACAGCCACGTCGACGCCAACCCATCACCCTAGTATGTGTGTCCCCCGTCACTACGCAGACCCACACCACCCCATCACCCCACCCCTGCAAGCCTGAGCCCCGACGTGCTGCCCTCCACCACCCCTTGTGATCCTCTCACGCATATATCTGACCCCCGCGTTACACACGCCACTCCTTCTATCCGTGTGTATCAGCCACCCTGTGTGCTGATCGCCATCCTCTACGAGTGTCCTAGAACTCGCGTCATCGCAAACCGCCGTGTGCACAGTCACATACAGCCACCACCCAGCACTCACTCACCCATCTCACCATCCCTCCCTCACCTCTACCCATTACCATCTCTGCTACCACCACCCTCACCCACCCCATCACCCCACCCCCTCGACACCGTAACCACCTATCACTGTGTCTCACACTGCGTGCCGAACTAACCCCCTCACCCACCATACTTACTCTCACCTCCGCATCCTCCCACGCCACCCTCTCACACTACCGCGAGTTCTCACACATCGGTCTAGACACTCCCAGTAGACGCACCCCTCCCTTTTACCACGACACTAAGAGTAGGAGAGTGACTCTCAATATGGTGATTTTACCGGCGTAGAATTCCTCTATTCCCTCCACACTCCACACATCCCTCATTAAAAATTATAAACTCCTCCATACTTACTTTCCAAACCATCTATTTCTAAATCAATACACCCATATACATCTACTTAAACCACACCCCACACCCACATACCCACTAACTTCCATATCCACCCATACCTCCCCCACCCCACGCTTATATTCTATCTCTTCCCCTATCCCCACCCAACCCCCCAATTACCCCCTCAAATATCAACCTCCATCCTATTCCCCTCTCTAACACCCAACACCCACCCACCCACCCACACTCATTTTATTATTTCTCCAATCATATATCCCCACTCCTCCACTTCTTCAAACCAATATTAACAAAATACCAATCTTCACGCTCTATTTAAAATAACAACCCCTCACCCACCACTAACATATCATATTAATTTACACTCCCCATCCTACTCCAACTCCTCTACACACATCCATAATCTTCCACCTCCCCACTCTCCCACCTAATTTACCACTCATTACTTAATCATAACTCCCCCTCATCCTCCAACTCCTTACCATCTCATACATATCTTCCACCTCCACAAATCATACTCACATCATTAACCACACATACATAATTCATACACCTCCCACACCTACTCCACATAATTACTCTTTACATCATCATCCACTCACAAACCTACTCTACTCATTTCCACAATTACTTATCATACACACTACCCAAACCTCCTCCTGACTAAGTACCACACATACATAATATACACATCCCCCACATATCCACATCATTACATCTCTTCCAGAATCTTACACATCCCCCAACCTCCTCCCACATACATTACACAATCCATAATCATCCACCTCCCCCTCCTACTACACAGTATATGTGTCCGTCACCCTCAGCGTGTCAGTTGCCATGCTATGCATATCCGACTGAGCACACTCTATATCCGATTACCAGTCCTGTTTGAGACCGATCACGACATGTGCTGGACCTTACTCATCACCTCAGAGATTTTGACTACCTATCGCTCTCGCGCGCACACACATTTCTGAAGCTCATCGATAAGTCATAGTCACTCGCATCTCTACTATTAGTCCCCAGCGTCCTGCTCTTGCCATATGGTAGTGTGACACTGTAGTGGATCTAATACGTATCACGTGCCACCCAGTAAGATAGAGGGACCTCTACTAGTACTGCGCTACTGCTGGATGACGCACCCAGCTCGCTCTCTATCTCAGCTAAAGCAGTGGAAGTGCGGGTCCTTATCTGAAGTCTGTTGCAGACTATCAAGTAATCACTAAATTTGATCGCCCTCAGATAACATGGCAGAGACAGACTAGTTGAAGGTCCTCTCTGATGATGTGACTTGCGACTACATACAGGACGCCTCCCCCATACTGAAGTTGAGTGTGAGAGTGTGTGATTGGATGGTTGCTCTGACGAACTCGTGATCTGAGTCGTGTTACGTCTCTCGGAACGCGATGCTGAATGACAGTGCTCTAGAGATAGACTGTGTCAGACAGGTCCTCTATGAAATGCTGCGGAACATGCAGAACATCAGGACGACCCTAACGAGCGGATCCTCTACGCTGATGATGCTGAATCAGACCAAATCAAGACGCCTAAGAGGTCTCTCAGATGATGCAGACTAAGAAACAATCAAAGGACGCTTCTCCAAACGACAAGGATTCCCGTCTCTGAACTGATGCTGACTTCAGACCACAATCAGCCGACCTAGATTGTCCTCTCTGATGATGCTGACTAGAACAATCGACGCCTAAGAAGGTCCTTCTCTGACTGATGCTGAATAAGAACAATACTGCACGCACCATAAGACAGGCTCCTCTCCTGATTAATGCAACTTGAATCCAGTACACAATCAAGACGAATAATAGAGGTCCATACTACTCGTCCTGGATGAATTCAGAACAAGCAGAACGCCTATTGAGAAGTCCGCTCATGATTGACGATGCTTTAGAGTCACAGAACCATGTACAGACGCACATGAAGGAAGGTCCTCTATGAATCTGATGCCGTGACTCCTCGGAGAAATAGATAACGTGCGAAAAACTAATCATAATCAAATACATGTTTAGTTTCATTAGACGGGTTTAAATTCAAATGTAAGGGAAGATTACAGTGCATGTTTAATGGTTTAATGGTTTCATCAAGAAATGTAAATCTGTTTGATATGAATATAAGAGTTATACATTATTTCAATAGTTTAATTGTGATGTTTTCATTTCTGACAATAGAAAAATATAAAAGTCTTAGGGACTGTCTTCAGCAAAACATTTCAATGAAAGCTAAGTTTTTTTTGGGGTTTTCCTGGATAAGGTTGAAAGTATTAACAAATGAGTATTTTGTGTGTTTTGTTGGTGAAAACACCTTCAAAAACACCACTTTAATGCTCAAAAAAGCTCAGAGTTCATTCATGTGAAACCCCACCAATCATCAACCAGCAGGCCAAACCAAGCCAAACCAAGCAATACCAGCAGGCAAAACCAAGCCAAACTTAAGCCAAAACTAGCAGGACAAACACGCAGGCCAACCAGCAGTCCAAACAAGCCAAAACTAAGCCAACCCAGGCAGGCCGAAACCAAAGCCCACACTAAAAGGCCAAACCGCAGCGCCAAACCAAGCCAAAACCTAGCCAAACTACGCCAAACCAAGCCAAACAAGCCCAACCCAGCTGGCCAAACCAAGCAAACTAGCCAACCAGCAGGCCAAACCAAGCCTAACCATCAACCCAGCAGGCCAAACCAAAGCCAAACTAAGCAAACCCCTAGCAGGCCCAAACCAAGCCAAACAAAGCCAAACCAGAGGCCAAAACATGCCAAACTAAGCCAACCAGCAGGCCAAACCAAGCCAAAACCAGGCCTCAATGCTGCAATGGACAGTAAGCAATGATGCAAGAGTCATCCAGAGAGAGGTCCGACCTCACCACCCCCCATTCACATATATAAATTTCCAAAATCTCAAACCCCCCCACCCCACATCCCTTCCATTTACTCCTCCTCCCACCCCAAATATCCCCTCACATCTTCCATTCTTCCAACCTATACCTTAACACCCTATAAATTCCCCTTCCCCTTAACATTCCCTTCCTTTTCATTCCCTTTCATTCCCTTTCATTATCCTTCCCTCCACCTTCATATTCTATACAACACCCCCTCTACATTCCCCACTTCAAAAATTAATATTATAATCCAATCACCCCCCCTAACACCCCAAACCCCATCCCTAAACTAAAACCCCCTTAATCATCACCCAAACAAACCCATCTACCCCAATTTACAAATATACAAAAACCAAACCACCCCCATCCAACATAAACTAACAATCTCCCAAACACCCTAACCCCCTTTTTTTTCTACTTAAACATTTTTTTACCAAAACACCCACATCCATCAACACCCCCCCCCAAAAAAAATCTAACACAACCCATATATATAAACATACCCTATATCACAAACACTCCCATACTCTCTTTTACAAACCTAATCTACTTCCCCCCAATTCAAACCCATACCCCCATATAAATACAACCAAACCAATATAACCCCAAACCTAATCAAACACCCCAATCCATATCAACCAACCAAAACCATCCCCCCCCTTCTTTTCCATCACTAACTCTTATAATATCAAAACCGAACCCTAACCCAAACTCGACACACAACCCCCACACACCCTCAAACTTTAAAACCCCAAACTATATATCATTCATCCTCCATAACCCACCCCCTACATCTTTCCCTTTCCACTAACCCATCCTCCCCCCTCCCCAACCTATAAAAACCAACCCTCCCCCCCCTATAACACACAACAAAACTCCACCCACCCAACTAATAATAATAATCTTCTCACCCCCAATATTTATAATCAAACACCATATGATCCTATATCTCATATATGTCTCCACAACATACTGTCACTCACTCTACACAAACTACCCCCTCTCTCTTGTTTCTACTATTCTGCCATATTGTCTCTCCCACACACCCTACCTCCCCACTTCGCACCCCCACTCACTTCTACAACCCTCAGTATATCCTGTCCGATACTACATCTCACCACTACCCCACTCTCACCCAATTCCCACAAGCCCACTCCCCGTCGGCTGTAACTGACTTGCACCTGTCCGACAGCCATATCTCTCTGAGCCGAGGTGTGTCATCACTACTTCACCTATATATATTAGAAATACATCTTGTCAATATATATATCCTTGCTCCTTCAACAAAAACTCTCATCAGTGTTCTCTCACACACACACACAACCCAACGATCTCATACTAACCTCACATTTCGCTACTTCTTCCTCTTCTAAAATCTCTACCATCATCTATCTTTACCCATTAGAATTGTCTTCCACCCTCCTCACACTCTAATTCGCAATTAAACCCTTTTCACGCCACTACTCTTCTAACAACAATCTATAACTACTAATTTCTATTTGTCCACCCAGATCCTCACTCATCCCACAAATATATAGATAGCTCACACGAGACCCCCACCATAGTCACTCTCCATCACGCTCCCCACACCCGATACGCTTACCCCCTCGTACTCCCCTACAAGAACTATGACTACCTATGACATCCACAATTGTGTTCGACAGCTTCAAACAATAACGCCTACCCTCCATCATATCCCAATGTGAATCGTGTCTCAGTAATACCACCCATTAAATGTGTGTGTGCGACACATAACATATGATGTTCCTAACTATTGATCCCCCTTCCCCCCCCCCACCCCCAAAACACCATACCCAACATAGCTCACCCACAATAAACCCTGTCCTAGTCCAAGAATTCTGTCTGATACCTCACCC